AAGGCATTTTACATTCTGAACCTTAAGTTCTGAAAGATTGATTTTATAAATGTTGTTCTTCCTCTTTCCATTAAATAGGATTGAGCCATCCTTCTGACTAACAACTTTGCAACATTTTTGATTAAAGATTATGTCATAACCATTGTCACTTAATTGACTTATCGACAATAGATTATGTTTTAATCCTTCTATAAGTAAAACATTAGATATAGAGGGAAGGTTACCATTGCCAATAGTACCAGAGCCAATAATCTTGCCCTTCTGATTCCCTCCAAACTTGACGTCTCCTCCAGATTTAAGCTCCAGGCTTTGGAACATAAATCTTTCTCCCGTCATGTGACGTGAGCAGCCAGAGTCCAGGTACCATGACTGGCGTCTTGACTTTGCTACTAAATACATCTGCAACAGGTATTATCTTATCCTTAGGTACCCAGATCTTTTTGGGTCCTTTTGGGTTAGTTGCCTTAAAAGTTTGTCTGAACTTCTGTCTTTTTACAACAGGTTTGTTCTGACTAACTTTTGGTTTAAACACCGGAATGTTCTGATCAGAACGTGTGTGTTTAATATCATTCAGATGAACAAACTTAAAATGAGAATATAAGGGAGTTTTCTTAATGATAAGTTTATCAACATGTATTGGATTTAAATCCTTTCCAGAGGAAGATTCATATCCAATTCCTTTCCTGTTGTTTCTGCTAACTCCATAGATCATTGAAGCCATCTTGCTTCTATCTATGCTTTTAGCCAGAAACTTCTGAAAACTATAGTCATATTCTTCTAAAATATTTTTACATTTTTACTTAGTTTCAGATTCAGAGTCTTGTTGAGCTTTTTCAAAATTGTTTTTCATTTTCAAATTGTTTTCTTTGAGCTCAGCAACTTCTGACTTTAACAGACTATTCTCATATTCAAGATTGCATTTGAGCTTAATCTGGTTGTAGTTATTCATAACTTCTGATAAAACCTTAATAAGTTGTTCCCTAGAGAGATCAGAAAGTACCTCTTCTGAGTCAGATTCAGATCCAGATGTTCCTTCATCCTGATCTTCCACGCCATCCATCAGTGCCATGTTGGCACATTCTTCTTCTGACTCTGATGAAATCCCATGTAGCCATCAGAACTTTCTTTTTATGCTCAGGTTTCCTTCTTAGCTTCTCCTTCTGAAGCTTTAGGCATTCATTTTTGTAGTGCCCAGGTTCCTTGCATTCATAGCAAACAACCTCCTTCTTTTTAGATCTTTTGTGTCCAGAGGACTCTTTTCGTTGATCTGGCTTCTTGAAGTTCTTGAACTTCCTCTATTTATGCTTCTAGAGTTTGTTGATCCTTCTGGACAGCAAGGACAGTTCATCTTCTTCTTTAGAAGAAGACTCTTCAGAACTTTCTTCTAACACCTGCAATGCTTTAACAAATTTGTTAGACTTTAACGTAATTGACTTACCTTTCTTTTAAGGCTCGTCTTCTTCAAGTTCAATCTCATGGCTCCTTAGAGAGTTGATCAGTTCCTCCAATGTGATCTTGTTCAGATCCTTAGCTAGCTTCAGAGCAGTGACCATTAGTCTCCATCTGATGGGAAAACTTCTGATGGGCAAACTTCTGATGATCTTCTTAACATGATCAGCAGTGGAGTAGCCTTTGTCCAGCACTTTTAATCCAGCTGTGAGGATCTGGAATCTAGAGAACATAGCTTCTATAGATTCAGATTCTTCCATTTTAAAGGCTTCATATTTCTGGATCAGCGCCAGAGCCTTGGTCTCTTTAACTTGTGAGTTCCCTTCATGAGTCATCTTCAAAGACTCAAACAAATCAAATGTTGTTTCTCTGTTGGTAATCTTCTCATACTCAGTATGAGATATAGAATTTAATAAGATTGTTCTTTCTTTGTGATGATTTCTGAACTCCTTCTTCTGAGCTTCAGTCATAGATTTTCTATTAATTTTCTTGCCATCCCCATCAGTGGGGTGAACATAACCATCAATGACTAACTCCCAAAGATCAGCATCATAACCAAGGAAGAAACTCTCTATTCTGTCCTTCCAATAGTCAAACTTCTCCCCATCAAACATATGGAGTTTTGTGCTGATTCTATCCCTTTCTTCATATCTGTTGTTGTTGGATGTTAAAGCTTCAACCATAATGTATCAACCAAAAAATATCAAGAGTTTTTTTACTGGATCTTTTTTGTTCACGGTGAAGTGATAACACACACAGAACCGGAGCTCTGATGCCAACTGAAGGTGAGAAAATACTTAGAAGGGGGGGGGGGGTTGAATAAGGGTTTTCAAAATATTATGGCAATAAGAACACAAATATTTTTATCCTGGTTCGTTGAACTCAACTAATCCAGTCCACCCTATCAAGAGTGATTTTCCTTTCTCCACAAGGACTTAATCCACTATAATCAAATTGATTACAATATCAACCACTAAAAACAATTGTCTTAGTCTTCTCAAGAACTACTGACCACAACTTGGTCTTCTCAAGGAACTTTTACAATCAAATGTAAACTAAACAAGTGTTTGAAATGCTTCTAAGTAAGCGATATCACAACTGTGATTTACACTTAAGTTTAAGAACGTATGAAACTATTCAACAAAGAAATATAATTTGTATGAGAGCTTTGAGAGAGTTTTCAATAGTTTTGTCAATTTTCGTCAACTGAAGAAAGTTGTTGAAGGCTTGCTTTTATAGACAAAGAAGTCCAAGACGTTGCAAGCTTGAAGACCGTGTATTGCAAAGCAGCTGTAGCCTTTTGTCTTCACATCACTTGACCTTTCCTAGAAGTAGAACATTCAGAGAAATCCTTTTTGCCTGAGTTCTTATGTCTAGCATGAAAGAGGAAAGAGTCGTTTGACATAACCAACGGATATAACTTTGAATAATCTTCTTCAACAAGTTTCTATTTCATAGCAATCAACATCAGAGCCTTGAGTGATCAGAGTCTTGATGTCATCAGAGTTTGCTGTATCAAAGTGTTGCAGCAAGTGTGCTTCAGCGTGAGTAACATTCAGAGCAGAGTTTGGAGATCAGATCCTCAGTACTTGCAGCGAACAGTACTATCAAAGTTTTCTGAAAAACAGTGCTTGAAACTCTTCATACAAAGTCTTCAGTCTACGCTTCAGATGCTTCTGTAGCTTCTGCTTCAGAGTCTTCTGTAGGCAGCGCTCAGAGTCTTCTGTAGGCAGCGCTCAGAGTCTTCTAACTATATGCTTCTGACGCTCAGAGTCTTGCGTAGTTCAACGTTCAGATCCATTTTTGCTTTTAGAAGAATATTAAATTTAATATCTGTAGCAAAAATACTTGAACAAATTTAGAGTATATAATTTCTTAATACAAAATTTCATTAGTGTTATCATCAAAACATAGAGATATAATTAAGAATCAATCTGTGTTCTAACAAATAACACTTCTTTATCTTTCTCGGTTGCCTCGAAAAATAAGAATAAAAACTGCTTGATTTACCGAAATGTCGGAAAGGAGTCGGGAGTTGGTTTCGGAGCAATCCGTTACCCTCCCGACGCACCCGATGATGACAATGTTCTGAGGGTGTCGGGATGAAAACTAACCGATTAAATTTTGCTTGCCTTTGTTTATTTTTGCAGGTTCGAAGAAATCGGAAACTCAGAAAAATTCGAAGAAAATCGGAAGAAACTTAGGAATTTTAGGAATTTTAGAAAAATATAATATTTTTGTAATTTTATTTTATTTATTATTTTTTTGTAAAAGAATAATATTATTAATAAAATTCCTTATTTTATTTATTTATTATTTTGGTTTTTAATATGCAATTGAAAATGAAAATTATTATAAAAACAAATGCTTTTGTTAAAACATAAAATGAAAATAATGTTAAAAGTGAAAATAACATTAATTTACAATGAAAATGAAAATAATGAAATAAAGTTATTTAAAAAATAAAGTTATTCAAAAATGAAATGTAAATAAAACTTAAAGAATGAAATGAATTAATTTATAATGAAAATAAAAGTAAAATTAAGAAAATGAAACAAAATTGATTTACAATAAAAATGAAAATGAAATGAAATTTAATTCCTAATTCCTCCAATTTAACCGATTAATCTCATTTCCGACAAAATCTCCCAATAATCATCCTGCAATTTAAAATGAGTAGCTTTATCCGGATAAATCCAACTGTCTGATTAAACTCAAATGATCATATTCTCCGTCTAACTTCAGTCCTTTAACTTGAATCGACTTATTTTCGAACAGCTCAAATCTTTCTCAATCGAACAGTTTCAACTACGCCTCGGACCCGATTCACATCAACAATATCCAACGACTCAAATTTCCTAACTACAACTCAAAATTCGTAAACTGACAGCCGACTATAAACAAATGACCGTTTAACCCTTCATGAATTAAAGAGCGTGCCACATGATATTTCCCTGCAAAAATCAATCAACTATACAAACTTGTTAGTGACTAGTTAAATACAATGCAAAAAATGCAATAGAATGCGAGATGAAACGACAAATCTTAAGACAAAATTTGGGGTATTACATTATCTAATACAAGTTTCAATAATTTTTATTTTAATCATATTATTTTTGATATTATTGTTTAACTTTCATCTTCTATATTTATTACTATTTCAACTTAAATTTATTATTATTTTTTAAAAAAATTTCAACTTTTAATTTTTTTAACAATTTAAAAATAGATACATATCAAAAATCATATTTCATCCACAAACGTAAGCTCGAGTTTGTGAGTAGTTTTTAGGAGTAGTATTAGTATTTCATTAGTACATGTCCCTCAAATAATTTTTCTCTTCCAATAGGTAACTAACCAACCAACCACATTTCAATAAACAATAGCCGTTACCCTTTTGTATTTTTGCGTCATTAAGATGTTCAAAACCCAAATCTTTTCGAATTTCAACATTATCTTCTCTCACTTCTCCTCGCCCACTCCTGTCCCACTGCCACCCACTTTCCTAGATTCAACTCACTTTCCCTTCTAATCCACAATACCCTTCCAAAATGGGTTGTTGCTTCAGCCGAGCCACAACCAAAAACCAAAACTCCCTCAAAAACACTCAACCCCGCCTAACTTCTTCACTGCCCAAATCTAATCATGACGAAGCCCTACCACAACCACCAGAAGAGGAATTTGTCAAAGAAGTTCTCTCTGAAACACCCATTTCAAAACCACACCAAGTTCATATTTTGATACCAGAAACAAAAACCCAAATTCCAGTAGTTCAAAACCCATCCGAGAAATTCGAAAATAAAGTTGCTACAGAGGAAGTAACAGAAGTAGTAGTTTCTCAGCTTTCAGAATCATGCACCGTTACTGAGAGCTTCTCGACCGCCACCACTGCTACTGTTACGGAGAAAAGAGAAGAGGAAGCGACAAGCAAACCATGTAGCAGAGAACCAACAACGACGATTCACAAGTGGAATCGATCTCCATCAAGAAAGCGTCCTCTCGCAGCTGATGCAAACGTCAGCAATGGAAATGAGCGAAGGGTAAAATCGCCGGCTACGACGTCACAGCCGTCGCCGGAGAAGAAAGTAAAGAGGGGGTCGAGGTTAGTTCGTGGAAGAGAATCGGGTTCCGTTATAAATCGGAAAGTCAATGCAGGTTCAAACGGTGCTCGCCGTGAATCCGGCGAGGGATCCGGCAGGAGGTCGAGGTCTCCGTCGTGTTCTCGTACAGTTGGAGGGTCGGGTAAAGTAGGTATCGGAGTTGGTCGGAAACAAGCTCCGGTGGCAGTGGAAAATGTGACGGAGAAGAAAAGCGAGAGTGATAAAGTTGGAGGGAAAAACGACATCGTTTGTAATGTAACGGAGAAGAAGAGTGAAAGTGAAGAAGTGGGAGAAAAAAACGACATCGTTTCGCAGGGAGAGTTAATTGAAAACCCTCACGTTTCGATGGAGTGTTTTATTTTTCTGTAGAGAAAAAACACGTTTGTGAAACTTTTTGAATTTTGAGAGTAAGCTTTTTCACGTGGGGTTGCTTTCATTATCAATGGATGTTTCACTTTTGACTTTTTGTTTGTTTTCTTTTGTAAAATTATGCGTTTTGTTTTTGTCTGTTAGAAACTTTGAAGAGATTAATTGATTTTTTGTCTGTTAGAAATCTGGAAATGATTCACGGTTTATTATAAAAATGTTTAATTAGTCAATTATTCAATCTATTATAACTATGTGTATTAATAATATTTGACTTTGTTTTCAAAACTTAAGTCAATGAATAATGTTGATATTATCAGTTGGACAATTCGAACTCTAGACCATGGGTTGAATAAATATTCAGATTTTGAATATGCAGCGGTATATTTGATTTATAGGTGGTGTTTTTTCATTTTGATCATCTACTAAAATTAGTATTTATATTTTATTTTAAAATTATTTATTTTATTAATTTGTTTAAAAATAATTTTAAATAAAAGTATATAAAAGTCAAACTACTATGATTTTTTTATTGAAATTATTTTATACGGCAAGTGAGATTCTGATTTTAATTTCTGAAGTCATTTCTTCTCTCTTGTACTATTTCTTAAAATTTGGCTTTAGATTCTAAACATGACCAATTATTGATGATGATTTCTTAATCCATTTTTTTGATATTTTTAGCCATCTAATTCATTTTCTTTTATGCTCCCTGTTATCTCCGGATTCACCTTTTTTTTCTTTACGCTGCATGCTTCCGGAGACATCTACGAAAAAAGATTCGTGGATGCATCTCCGAAATCTTATTAAACAGATTTTTTTTTTATAAAACAATCTAGTTTTGTTGGTCGCAGATGAAAATTAACTCTTGCATATTAATATAAAATAACATACATCCGTGATATTTTTACCCAAATAATCCAATTTTTTTAAAAAAATTCTCAAAATATCCCACATTTCAAAAATATTCCCAAAGTACCCCAATTAGGGTTTGGGCTTACACAAGGGCGTCATTCCAATTTGCGACCCTTTGTTGAGGCTATAAGGGTGTCGCCAATTGGATTGGAGACACCTCATGTAATCTACAATCCAATTGGCGACTTGGTTATGTACTTAAAAGGGCGTCGTCAATTCATCTGGAGACTCTTTGTATTTTGAATTTTTTTTACGAAAAATAAATAATTATAAAAATGGTTAATAAAATAGTTGATATTATGATTGTTATTAAAAATAATTATTTACTTTTTTGAAATTTTTATATAAACTAAGTCAAAGGGAAAAATAAATATTATCATTAATTAAAAAAGTATTATATAAACTAATGTTGGTGACCGAGTTGGTCATATCGTCCACCGGTTCCACATCCCTTAGGCACCCTAACTCGTTGCGCTCGTCCCCCTCGTTGTTGATTCACGCCAGATGTTTGGGGAGTTGAAGTCTCAGAAATATTCCCAAATGGTTCCCAAAGGATTTCTTGCATTTCTAATATGTCCTGTGTGTTGAAACTGAGCGTGCGACTCATGCCAGAGTAGTTTGGATGTGATGAAGTGGTCATTAGTGTGCGGCCTGGACGGTTGAATGGGGACATTGGTGTGAATGATTCGTTGGCGACTTCCTTTCCCATTAACAAAGGTGTTAGAACACAGATTGGTTCTTAATAATATCTCTATGTTTTGATGATAACTATTAGGAAATTTTGTATTTAAGAATTATATACTCTAAAATTTGCTTGAGAGTTTTTTACTGCAGATAGTAAAGAAATTAACACTCCAGAAGCAAATTAGAATTGAATACAAGAAATTAACTAGACTCTGAAGCGCCCGATGCACTCATTAGAAGATTCTGATTGCTGCCAATAGAAGATCCTGAGTGTAGCCTCCAGAAGGATCTGAAGAAATAAGCTCCAGAAGATTCTGAAGCAGAGGCTCCAGAAGAATCTGAAGCAAGTCAGAAGGATCTGAAGCAAGTCAGAAGCATCTGAAGCAAAAAATAATTTTGTATGAAGAGCTTTTCAAAGCATAGATTCTACAGAAGATTCTGAAAGTACTAAAGCTGCCAGTACTGAAGTTCTGTCTCAAGATATGCTCTGATATTTAACACGCTGAAAGCACACCTGTTGCAGAAGACTCTGACCCAGCAAGCTCTGATCATTATTAGAAGACTCTGACCCAATCAGACTCTGATGAACTTGCTGAAAACTGAAGAAGAAAATATTCAAAGATTATATCCGTTGGAGTAAATCAAACGTCTCTTTCCTTATTTATGCTAGACACAAGAACACAGACAAAAAGGATTTTTCTGTGCTTTCTTCTTCTAGGAAAGGTCACTTGATGTGAAGACAAAAAGGATCAGACCTTTTGGGACACTCTTCTCAACGTGCAGCTCACCTTGGATCAGCTGCCTATAAAAGCAAGACTCCACCAAATTCTTCAGTTAGACGTTTTGCTGAAAAGAAATTATAACATTCAAGCTCTCATACTTTCATATTCATTCTTAGAATTAATTTCATTGTACTTAAACTTAAGAGAAATATCACTGTTGTGATTAAATATTTTTAGAAGCATTCTTACTCTTGTATTAGATTTACATTGATTATAAAGGATTTCCTTAAGAGGATTCAGTTGGAATCAGTAGCTCTTGAGAAGACTAAGAACAGTTGTTCTTAGGTGTTACTATTGTAATCTGTTTGATTAAATAGTGGATTAAGTCCTTGATTGAGAAAGGCAAATCACTCTAGGAATGGTGGAGTGGAGTAGTTGAGTTCAACGAACCAGGATAAAAATAATTGTGTTTTTATTCTAAGTTTTAATCTTTCATACTTATTCAACCCCCCCTTCTAAGTATTATCTCACCTTCAGTTGGCATCAGAGCTCCGGTTCTGTGTGTGCTACCACTTAACAATGACAGTAAAGATCCAGAGAGAAATACTTTGATATATATTTAGTTGTTACTATAGCTGATAATACAATATCCAACATTAACAATAAATATGAAGAAAGGGACAGAATCAGCACCAAACCCCCTATGTTTGATGGGGAGAAATTTGATTACTGGAAAGACAGAATTGCAAGTTTTTTCCTTGGATATGATGCTGATTTATGGGATCTAGTCATAGATGGATATGTTCATCCCACAGATGGGAATGGCAAGAAGATAGACAGAAAATCTATGACAAATGCTCAGAAGAAAGATTTTAGAAATCATCACAAGGCCAGAACAATATTATTGAATGCAATATCTCATACTGAGTATGAAAAAATTACGAACAGGGAAACTACATTTGATATGTTTGAATCCTTAAAGATGACTCATGAGGGAAACTCTCAAGTCAAGGAAACAAAGGCTCTGGCGCTGATCCAGAAGTATGAGGCCTTCAAGATGGAAGACTCTGAATCTGTTGAAGCTATGTTCTCCAGATTTCAAATCCTCACTGCTGGGCTAAAGGTTCTGGACAAGGGATACTCTACATCAGATCATGTAAAGAAAATCATCAGAAGTCTACCTACCAGATGGAGACCAATGGTGACTGCCTTGAAGATGGCTAAATATCTAAACAAGATCTCTTTAGAAGAACTCATCAGCTCACTAAGGAGCCATGAAATTGAGCTTGAGGAAGATGAACCTCAGAAGAAAGAAAAAGGTAAATCTGTTGCTTTAAAATCTAATAAATCTGCTAAAGCTTTGCAGGTTATTGAAGAAAGCTCTGAAGGATCTTCTTCTTCTGAAGAAGATGAATTATCCATGTTGTCCAGAAGGATCAACAGACTCTGGAAGCACAAGGGAAAGAAGTTCAACAACTTCAGAAAATCTGATCATAGAAAGGAATCTTCTGGGCACAGAAGATTCGGAAAGAAAGAAGTTGTGTGCTATGAGTGCAAAGAACCTGGGCATTACAAGAATGATTGCCCCAAACTTCAAAAAGAAAAACCCAAGAAGAAGTTTAACAAAAAGAAGAAGGTTCTGATGGCAACATGAGATGACTCAGATGAATCTGAATCATCTTCTGAATCAGAAGAAGAATGTGCCAATGTTGCACTGATGGACAGCACAGAAGATCAGGAGGAAGGAACCTCAGGATATGAATCAGATTCTGAATCTGACGATGACGCTGAAGAGGTAATGGCTAAACTTACTAAAGAAGAACTTATAAAAGTTTTATCAGAAGTTCTGAAAAGTTATAACAATATCAAACTCAAATACAAGAAGCTGAAAAGCAGTCTTGAATCTGAGATTGATCTTCTGAAGACAGAACTTGTTGCGCAAAAAGAAATTAATCTAAAAATCAAAAATGACTTTGAAACAACTCAACAAGAATCTGAATCTGAGACTAAGTCATGTGAAAGCATTTTAGAAAAATATGACTCTAGCTTTCAGAGATTTCTTACTAAGAGCATAGACAGAAGCAAGATGGCTTCTATGATCTATGGTGTTAGTGGGAACAACATAAGAGGTATTGGATATGAATCTTCCTCTGGAAGTAATCCAAAATATGTTGACAAACTTTTCATCAAGAAAACACCTCTGTACTCTCAATTTAAGTTTGGTCACTTAAATGACATTAAACACACAACCTCTGAGAAGAATACTTGTGTTTAAACCCAAGGCAAGTCAGAATAAACATTATGTTGAAAAACAGAAGTTTAGACAAACCTACAAACCAACTAACCCTAAAGGACCCAAGAAGATCTGGGTACCTAAAAGTAAAATAATTCCTGTTACAGATGTTCTTAGCAGCAAGGTCAGGACGCCAATCATGGTACCTGGATTCTGGATGCTCACGACACATGACAGAAGAAAAGTCTATGTTCCAAAGCCTGGAACTTAGATCTGGAGGTGATGTGAAGTTTGGAGGGAACCAGAAGGGCAAGATCATTGGATCTGGCACCATTGGAAATGGTAAACTTCCCTCTATTACTAATGTTTTACTTGTTGAAGGGTTAAAGCATAACTTATTGTCCATAAGTCAATTAAGTGACAATGGTTATGATATTACCTTTAATCAA